GCTTCTGGGTCACACAAAAAAGGTACAGGAGACCCAGCCCATAATAAGAGCCAGCATTTGAAGGGTACAGGCACTGTGGAAGGAAACAGCAAGTCACCTGGATAAAATCCAGTCTTCAGAAAAAACTCTTTCTCCTCACGTGAGCTGCAAGTGCTGCCTTTTGCTCCAAAAGCAAGTCCTGCTGAGCTATTTTCTTAGAAAATGTCCAATGCAGACACACACACTCCTGTTCATTAGACAATAACAACTATTGGAAAGGCTGAGGGAACTGGGATTGTTCAGCCTGGAGAAGAGGAGCTTCAGCATGACCTAACTGTGGCCCCTTCCAGTGCCTGGAGGGAACCAACAAGAAACATGGAGAGAGACTATTTACAAGGGCCTGGAGGGACAGGACAAGGGGGAATGGCTTCCCACTGACAGAGGGCAGGGTTAGATGGGATATTGGGAAGAAATTCCTGGCTGTGAAGGTGATGAGGCCCTGGCACAGGTTGCCCAGAGAAGCTGTGGCTGCCCCTGGATCCCTGGAAGTGTCCAAGGGCAGGTTGGACGGGGCTTGGAGCAACCTGGGATAGTGGAACATGTCCCTGCCCATGGCAGGGGGTTGGAACTGGATGAGTTTTAAGGTCCCTTCCAACCCAAACCATTCCGTGAATCTGTGGTCTGTCACCACCAGCAAGGGATCACGATTTTTATGTTGAGCTGTTTTGGTTACGGACAACATGTGACGTGTTTGTACTTCTAAAACACACACAGGTTAGAACCTGCCTCAATAAATTTAAAGTTCCCTCAGTTTCATCTTTGCAGACAGTTTAATCAATGATTGTGTGAAGTTGATGTCCCAGCTACAACACACACACACACAGAGAAAACTTTGAGCCCCTACGTTCATTTTTCCTGCTGATTCTCTGCAGTAAGAAAATAAATAAAAATGCCTATTTTACAGTATTCTCTGTTGCTACAAAGGGCCAAAGTTAAACATTTATGATACAAAGTTGGCAAAAGAAAGCCTAAAGGAGCCTCATCAGCTCCATGGGGAAAGGGGGCACCTCAAGAACAAATAATTTCTGTTGTTGTTCTTCTATTATTATTATTATTATTAATATTAATATATTTATTAATTTTTATGGCGACCTTATTTTTAATTACTGTTATTTTACTATCTTTTACCCTAGATCTCCATTGGGTTCTCCAGGGTATTTATCCAGAAAATAGGCAAGTTACCTGGAGAGCCAGTTTTCAGCACAGCCTAATTTCAAGGATAACGCTCATGGCCGGCCAAGGAAGTCTTAAAACACCCCAGAACCTCGTTTTTCACAATCTCATCTCAACGAAAACTCACCTGGTCAGGACAAAGGGACCCCCCAGCCCAGCTCTGGGACAAGGACACGAGGGACACAAGGCACGACCTAAGGGAAAGAGGGGTATATTATATAATTATATATTTGATTATATACGTGGGGAGGATGCTGACGGCACAGGTGTGCCCCCGCCGTGCCCTCCCGCTCCACACAACCCCCCCTGCGCATCCCCCCCCCGAAGAGATGGTACCGCCTCTCCCCGCCAGCGCACAACGGGCAGACGGGACGGCCCACTCGCCACCGGGGGAGTCCCGAGCGCGGCGGGCTCCCCTCTTCCTGCCGCGGATGGTTCCTCCCGCGCTTTGGCGGCCGAGGGCGGCGGGCGCGCCCACTCTGAGGAGGGGGGGGAGCGCCGCGGTCCCTGCCCCCCCCCTCCGCCGCACTGACCTGCTCCCGCCGCCGCCGCCGCGCTCGGCCCGACGCGCCGCGGGGCCCTCGGGTGCCGCGGCCGCCCTGCCCAGCGCCGGGGCCGCCCGCCGCCGGCACGGCGTGTAAAAATTATAATGTGATTATTATTGTTGTAAATAAACACCGACCTCGGCCCTCAGGGAGTGGGGTCGCCGGTCGGCGCCTGGCAGTCGCGACAGGCAGCGCGGCGGGCAGCCCGCGGGGCCCTGAGGGCCCGGGCCGCCTCACAATATGGATGTTTTTATAAATTATATAAATTGCATTAATTACATCAATTGTGGCCATTACACCCGTATTATTATATCCAATGCTTATCTTTTTTATCTGATGTCCTGTTTATAATCATATCATATGTGGATATGACAGTAAATTATATAAATTATATCTATGGGTGTGATAATGAATTATATAAATTATATCCATTATCTCATACATGGATACAATTATACCCATATCCATACACTATGGACATCCATAATTCATATATTATTAATATATCCATAATCCATATGTTTTGGATATTTTATAACCCATATATTATGGATATATTTCATCCTATATGGATATTACATATAATAATGTACCCATGTATGGATATTATGACTATATACAATTGCATATAATATATAAAATAATATATTATTATGCTTATACATGGATATATCTATAATATAACCATAATAACACATATATGATACTCTATGTTTTATATATAAATAAAAGCTTTATATATACTTATATATATGCTGTTATATATTTTATATATTCCATATATATGGAAGAAATTCTTCTAAGCATATATATTATATAATTATAGATATTATATATAGTTATATCCATAGTAACTAATCCACTTATTATATCCTTAGATGGATATTATGATTATATATAACACATTCTATCCATATATACATACATTATATCCGTAATATAACCATTTTAAGATAGATAGATAGGAAATTAGGAAAAAATTCTTCTAATTACATATATATAATATTATATATATAATTATATCCATACTATATCCATAATAACGAATCCACTTATTATATTCGTACACGGATAAGATTATATCGACATTCCAGGCTGCCCAGGGATGTTGTGGAGTCTCCCTCGGAGGGGACATTCCAAACCCAGCTGGACCTGTTCCTGTGTCACCTGGTCCAGGTGACCCTGTCTTGGCAAGAGGATGGAACCAGGTGATTTTAAGGTCCCTTCCCACCCGAAGCACCCAGTGATTTCCATGCCAGGTACAAGCGACGATGCTCTGCATGGTTTGAGGTGACCCCTGGAGCGCGGCCTTGGAGCTTTTTGCCAGGGGGAAACTTCATTTCGCATATTCCCGGTCCTTACAGAACCCGAGCCCCGGCCAGGGTTGTTTAGTCACAGCAGAGCTGTTCCAGAACTGCTCGAAGCCACGCCAGGAGACAGCAGTGTGGTTATTCCCTTGCTGTTTCTGCACTCCCTTGTCCTCTCCCCTGCTCATTACCTGGGACACCTGATCTTCAGCTGCCCCACTTCCAATCTTGCATCTCTCAGGTAAAACTTGTCCCAGTTTTGCCTCGAATGCAGGATTTCCTGCTGCGTGAATCCGCTGCTCCTTCTCCCTGCACGTGCCTCACCAACTTGGAAGGGATCTGCCCACGTGCTGTGAGCCACACACTGGAACTTCACCCCTCCTGGAAGGACAAGAAGATGGGGGAAATCAGCTTTTACCCGTTTACTAATATTTAGTATTGGCTTTTTTATTTTAGTATTTTAAAAGTCAATAGATATAAAAATTAAATGATACACAAGCTGTGCTTGAAATCACTCAGCACTCCAATGAAACAACAGTGGGAACATCAACCAGTGCTTTTCTTTCCCAAAATTTTACAGCAACACAAAGTGGTTTATCATTTCGATCCACTTTTTATCAGTTCCACATACGTGCTGCCCGTTTTCCATGAAAGACAGATATATGAAAAAGCTGAGATAGGCTGTACCCTCTTCACCTCTGAATTACACAAAGATTATATTAAATAAATGCTTTCTAACAGATCCACCTACTTCAGAACTTAAAGATCCTACTCTGCCTCAGGACAATGTTGCTGCGGCTCATTAGGTTTGCTACATAAACCAAAACACAGCTTCACAGCAAAGATATGATGCCAAAATACAGCTTCACAGTGAAGAGATGCTTCTCTCACAAGGATGAGGGAAAAAAATAAGTATTTCCTGTAAGAACAGTAACTCTGATATCTGCAACAGGATGAAGATGAGTTTTGAGATAATCCCACTGTACACAGGTGGAGAGTGAGTTAGGAAAGAGAGTGCTTAACTTAGAAATTCAGAATTTATTTACAAAAATTACTTTAAAAAAAAAAAGAGAAACAACACAAAACTCTCCTCCTGGATATATTTTACTCTGCCAAAACACTGCAACTGATCATTAAATGCATTTACACATTTTACAGATTCATTTTCATATACAACAGTGTATGCTTTAGTCACCAAGGCGTCAGGAGAAGAGATTATAAACTAAGCTGTTTTAAAGTAATGAAACTGCCAGGTTTCCCTCGGCATCCCCTCATCAAAATTAAGGTAAAACACTTTAGCAGAGAAACAGACACAAGAATTCTAACTTTTCTGAAAAGGTACATGAGAATGAGCTTCTTCAATCGGACCTAACTCAGCAGCCTAACTGAAACCTGTAGCAAAGCAATTATCAATATTCTCTGAGACAGAACTGCAAAGTCATTTCCACAGTTTCACTTTCAAAGATGTTAATTTAACAAATGAAGATGGAGGGTGGGGGAAGGAGCAGTAACAGAAGAGGCTGCAAATTCGTGGGTTTTTAACTAGGAACTACATTTGAAAATGATGAACCTTAGGATTAAAGGGTGGGCTCAGTTCAGCGCAGGCTGTGTCTCACCTAAAAAATCCATTGCGCAGGCTGGAATGGTAAAAAGACCTTTCCCCAAATCTTCGTTCGCGAAGATGGGCCATTATTAAACATTTGAAAAGGGCAGCATATTTCCCCTCTCCCATGGTATTCCCCTCCTCCCACATTTCCCAGGAATCTCAGAATACAAATGCTTCCCCACTTCGACCACACTAATCACCACGAGGAAGTTTAACACACATTTAAAAAAGTATAATAACTCTTGACAGAAAAGTAACAAATGCTAATCACTAATATCCCCTGCTGGGCTAAATTAATACAGAGTTGCCCAGCTTCAGATACAGGTGGGTTTTTTTCTTTTTTTTTTTTTTTTTGATTTTGCACAACAATTGCACCTATTTTCAACATGCTGACTTTACCATCAGCATGAACTACTGAAGAGATCTGAAGAGAAAAATCCTGTTCTCAATCAAACCAGGAAAATTCAACTTTCAATGTGAGCCAGAATGAGAACTTTACCCAGCTGGTTTTATCTCCACATCACAACTGGACTTCAATCCCCTATAACGTGAACTTGAATTCTTGATAACGTGTTCATATTCTATGAAATAGTGCTGTGGTAGTAACTGAAATTAAAAAAAAGAAAAAAAAAAAAACCACACCAAAACGTTGCTGTTTTCCTCAATTTAAAAACAAATTGGAAAGCGTACTGAAGGAAATTCATCCCTGAGTAACGAGACACTTAAAAACTGCATCTTATATTAACAGTCACTGCAACATTCTATGACACCAACACTACGAACAGGCAGCAACAGAACTTGTCACAGTCCAACATATTTGCAGCATTGTTGCATTGATCCCTGTGATCTTGGTTAATGAAACTGAAAGGGAACATTGGGAAATACGACGAACAGAAATAGTGTCTTTATTATTTTTAAGTTGGATGTCGAATTGAGAGCTAAACCGTGCTGGATCCCAGAAAACTCAGAGCAGTGATGGTCAGCAGCTGGCTTCTTTGGATGTCCAGAGGATTTTCACGAGGTGTCTTCAGCCAAACAAAAGGAGGAGAACGATTGTAATGGAGTTCAGTGCTATTAATGGCACTGCAGAAGGAAAAAGAAAAGAACATTAATAGTGAAAGCTTTCCTTTCCACATCACAAGACGACCGAACTTCATATTATCTTCAGAGAATACCTTGGGAGAAAGAGCAGAATCAACCAAAAAATTAAAAAATACACTTAAACTTTCCTACACAAAATCGGGACTAGTGGAAGGAGCCAGGCTTAAAGCCTAAGATACTAAAAATTAGTAGGAAGCAAGAGCAGAAATATTTTTTATGGCCTGTTTTAACTTTAATCCAGAGACTTGAGTTCTGTTTTAACTTTAACCCAGATATCTCTTTCTCCAAATGAAATTAAACCGTCTCAAAGTCAGTTTCTGTCCTTGGCTTTACTATGATTTAGAATAAATGTTTTTCCCTCAGTGGTGGGCCTGAGAGGTAAGATTTGCTACTTCTTCTCTATCACCACATAAAAAAGGAATTTTTGCTGTGCTTTATAATAAAAAGCTATCAGTAACTTACAAATAAAGCATATTTTCCTCCCATCTTCTGAGGCACAAAAGCCTGGCTTACTTCAGGATCCCTGAAATTACATTTCCCTCTCCAGTTACTTGCCATAAAACTGAACTTAGAGAAGGTGAAGCTAATTGCACACTTTGATTGACCACTGAGCTTCCCCCCAGCTCCCAAACTCCAAGGGAAGACAAAACTCAGAATGGTAACAACAAACAAACAAATACAATATAACAACAACAACAACAACAACAACAACAATAATAATAATAATAATAATAATAATAATGTCCCCTTACCTCTCATGACAGTTCGTATTGATCGAATAAGGTTCATTAGCTGTGCTTTAATTCCTGGTTCCTCTCCAAATCCTCCAATCCCTTGGTCAGTTCCCCAGCCAACTGTGTCACGTAAAAACAGATAAGCACTTCAGGAAAAAAAGCCCAAAACCATGAAACAAATGCTGTAATTTTAATGAACAATCCATCCTGAATACGGTTTACACTAACACCGAAAGGCAAACCACCAATTAGCTTTATTTCATGATCAGCTTTTCATAGAATAGGCTGGAAACTGTTAAACCTGATGTTAAGCAATGGCAGATCCATGCTCCTGTAAAGGAAACCCTCAACTTTTTAACACACTACTATTCCCCAAGTGCCCAGAGAAACACCAGAATTCATTTGGGCTTCAAAAAGACACCTGCCAAAATTAACTCAAACCAACCACAGTCTGTTCACAGGCCCGAAAATAAAACAGCAAATCATTGCATAGGGGGGTGAAGAGATGAAGCCTCAGCGCTGAGAAAGAAGCTACACGACAGAAAAACAGCCAGCACAACTTCCAAAGTCAGGATGATGACTTTGTAACTGCTATTAAAAAAAAAAAAAAAGAGAACTTTTGGGAAAAAATTGGGAACTTTTCCGAGCAGGACCGAAGTCCTGAAGGTTTACAAAGCCCTCCAAGGGAGTCCCGACCCTGCGCAGGGAGGCACAGCTACGGGATCAGGGATGTGTCCAGGGATTTCTGAGACCTGCCGGGCACAGCCCTTACCATTCGGGGGATGAGTGGAGCACGGAGCAGCTCTCAGTATTCCAGTTCCAATGCCCAACCTGTGAGTTCCTGTTCTCCAGGGACAACTTTTGCGGGATTCCTCCCCCCCCTTCTTGTCTCCCTCGCTGGCACCAGGACGAGGGTGGTGCGTCTTCTCCCTCACCTGCCTCGCCCGGTGCTGTTTCCCACTTGGATGAGCTTGGAGCTATTCCCAAGTCTCCCGAGGCCGACAAGTGACTTCACCCATCCCGTTAGCCCCCACATCCCCCTTTTCCCGCAGCTGCTGCTCATCAGGAAAGCAAAAGGAAACCCCAAACCCACACCGAGCAGATCCCTTGTAGTGATTCCAACCGGGGAACGGGAGATCACCCTTTGCACTCCTGCCAAAAATCCCAGCTCAGCCTAACGTGGAGAAAAGACGTGGAGAAAAGTCAGGATTCTCCAGATCAGGGAATTAGATTATCGATTTTTTTTTTCCATGGCTTTGCAGATCTGTGATGGATTTTCTCTGTTTTGCAGAGCTTTGGTTCCTGCTGAAGGACAAGGATGCCCAACCCTGAGGACCCCGAGGGCCGAAAAGCGCCATCTCATCAAAAAAACAGGCGCGGTGAGAGGAAGGAAAACCTTTGCACGACACCAAACATCCCGACGGGCGTGGAACAGCGGGAAAGGGCAGGGAAAACACACAATCACAGGAAAAAAAATTAAAAAAAAATAAAAGAGAGAGAGAGAAAGAAAGAGAAAGAGAAAGAGAGAGAGAGAGAGAGAGAGAGACAAAGCTACGACGGGAGCGGCCGGGAACCCATCCCCAGATCCCGGACGAATTCCCAGATCCCTCCCCCGGGCCGCGCGGCCCTCCCGGCTCACCGTGCCGCAGGAAGCGCTCCTCGTGCAGCACGGCCACGGCGTTCACGATGAGCAGCGAGGCCTGCAGCAGCGAGTACAGCGTGAACGCCATTGCCCGGCGGGGCGGGGCCGGAGCGGGACCGGGATTAGGATCGGGATCGGGAGCGAAGCCCGAGCGGGACGTGGCGGGAGGCGGGGCTTAGGGAGGGGGCGGGGCTTAGGGAGGGGCGGGGCTTGGGGGCCGTCGTTCAGGGCACCCGCGAGCGGAGGGGGCGGGGCTTTTGTAAGGGGGCGTGGCCTTGCGCACACCGAGTGGTGTAGGGGCGTGGCCTCGGGCAGCGCGCGGGGTTCGCCCCACGAGGGCGGGGGGGGCGGGGCTTCCCCCTCACGGCGGCCGCGTCCGGGCGCTGGGACCGCCCCGGGGATCCCTGGGAGCGTCCCCTGGATCCGTGGATTCCTCGGAGCCCCCTGAATCCCTCGGGTCTGTAAATCCCCTTGGAGCTCCCTGGAATCCCCCCTTAAGCCCCTTGGATCCCGCGCGTCCGTTTATTCCTCAGATCCGTGGATCCCTTGGAGCCCCGTGGGTCCCTCGGGTCTGTGGGTCTCTCGAACCCGCGTGGATCCCTCGGAGCTCTCTGGGTCCTTCACAGCCCTGTGGATCCCTCGGATCCGTGGATCCCTTGGAGCCTCGTGGGTCCTCGGGTCTGTGGGTCTCTTGGAGCCCTGTGGATACCTCGGAGCTCTGTGGGTCCCTTGGATCCATGGATCCCTCGGAGTCCCCTGGGTCCCTTGGAACCCTCTGAATCCTTTGGGTCTGTAAATCCCTGGGAGCCCCCTGGATCCCTCAGATCCGTGGATCCCTTAGGTCCATGGATTTCTCAGATCCATGGACCCCTTGGAGCCTCGTGGATCCCTCAGGCCTGTGGGTCCCTCGGAGCCCTGTGGATCCCTCAGATCTGTGGATTCCTCGGGCCTGTGGATCCCTTAGAGCTGTGGATTCCTCAGGCCTGTGGATCACTCGGATCTGTGGATCCCTTAGAGCCCCGGGGGTCCCTCATGTCCATGGGTCGCTTGGGTCTGTCGATCCCTTGAGTCTGTGGATCCTTCGGAACCCCGTGGGTCCCTCGGAATCCCCTGAATGCCTCGGGTCTGTAAATCCCGTGGAGCCCCCTGGATTCCTCAGAGCCCCGTGGATCCCTCGTGTCCTTGGGACACTCAGGTCTGTGGGTCCCTCGGGTCCACGGATCCCTCAGATCCATGGATCCCTTGGAGCCTCGTGGGGCCCTCAAGTCTGTGGGTCTCTCGGAGCCCCATGGATCCCTTTGGAGCCCTTGGTGTCCATCGGATCCGTGGACCCCTTGGAGCCCCGTGGATCCTTCGGGTCTGTGGATCCCTCAGATCCATGGATCCCTTGGAGCCTCGTGGAACCCTCGGAGCTCCCTGAATCCCTCAGATCCGTGGATCTCTCGGAACCCCCTGAATCCCTCAGATCCATGGATCCCTTGGAGCCTCGTGGAACCCTCGGAGCTCCCTGAATCCCTCGGATCCATGGATCTCTCGGAGCCCCCTGAATCCCTCGGATCCGTGGATCTCTTGGAGCTCTTGAATCCCTCGGATCCGTGGATCCCTCGGACCCCCTGGGTCCCTCGAAGCCCCTGGATCCCGGCACAGGCGGTGACCCGCGGGAAGCTCCGCTCTCCGCGTACCGAGTGCCATCGGTCTCGGTGCGGGAGGAAGGCGCATCCTCCTCTTCCTTCTCCTTTTCCTCCTCCTCCAGTAACGCAGTAACGTGGCGTCTCCCGGCGGTGGGAGCCGGCAGGGAGACATTGCCCGGCGCGGGGCAGCCCCTGTGGCCACCCCTCAAGCTGGTATCAGTGGAATTAATCAAAAACATATGCAAAAATACGTGGGTTTATATTTTTATATAATCTTACGGACAGCATTTCCCCTTCCACTCCCACCCCTGTATTTCCTCAATATATATTGATTTTCGTTAAATCCCCGACTAAGGGTTCTACCAGGAACTCAGCCCAGATCCCAAATGTCGTTTGTCCAACGTGTAAATGATGCAAAATCCAGAAGAAAACAATTATCTTTTATGTTGGATTGATCGGGGCTTCTGGGCGGTTCTGCAGTCAAATAACAAAAATAATAGCAACTGGAGCTCAGGGATACTGTATTGAGGGATATTGTTATTGAGGCACAAATAGGCATTTTTTTCCCCCTTGCATCCCTCAGTCCTATTGGCTGAAGGGGGTGATTTGCATAATCACTCTGATTTTATTTCTCAGTAATCATACAATACACAAACCCCTTAACTCCGGATGGTTGATAGCTTTTATTACTCAATCAGGGTACAATGATTTGCATAATCACCATGCTTTGATAGTTATTAGACCCATTCACTGCGACAGAAATCATAACTTTGTGCTTAGTGTGGTGGACTGGAGAGACCCCAACCTCGACTGTTTGCTCTGCCACAGATTTCTGATCTGGGCAAATTATTCACCATTTATCAATATTACATCTCCACGTTAAGACCCACTCACCAGCAAACATGAGATGATCTGATACTTCAGCAATTAGTTAAGTGTTGGAAGCATATAATCAATAGATGCTCAGACACCTCCTGAACAAACCCACACTTCAGCTGCTTCTTATCTTCATCTTTCTTTTCCGAAATACTCACTTTGGTATACAGTTAGTGGCATAATATTATGCATCTTAGTAATCATCACTAATAAATAACATCACAATTTAATAACTGGAACCGGAGGCAAGAGAAAGCACCCCATCATCAGAGCTGTAGCATATTTTGTTACTTAATTTACCCCCAAAATTAACTACTATGAAATAAGAGAGATAGAACAGAGAACAAAAATCAAACATATCCATCAGATTAACTTCACATATGTCAGCAGCTAGTGGGGACACCCGAGTGTACTGGCACTTGCAAGCTCAAAAGTTCCAACCTAACTTCTTTATTTCTCATCTAGGTTTTTAAATTTGGTATAACTGCAAAACTCCTAAAAACTGTCCATTTAATGTTTTTAATGGTGCCATTTCTAGGTGCCCAGGGCCCCCCAAAATTCAACCAAAAGTTCAGTTTTTTATCATTCAAGTCATCTTTTTCCATCCATAAATAATTAAAAAAAAAAGCTGAATTTTACCAAACTCCATACATGCAGAGAAAGTCAATATTGGGCTGAAAAGATTTCATCCCAAAGGCCATTACCATTTTTTAAGAAGTTGTGAGTGGTGGCATATAATGGTCTCACAAATAAAGCTGTCTTTTGTTCCCAGATACAACTCAGGGCATTATGGCAGTAATTCTATAATTAAATACAGATAAATAGGGAGGGGTCACTAACAGGCTTGTCTAATAACCACTATCATCAAGTAGCATTTCCTGGGCTACCTCCTTGCAGTATCCAACCTATAAATAAATGCTAACCTCAGTGAAGAGCTAATGCTTAGAATTATGGCACTGAAAAAAAAAATAATGAGGTTTTTACAATAACTGTACAAGTTATGGCTTAGTATTTTTACCCATAATTAAGATGTATTTCCAAAGAGCAGCTGCTATCAAGCTTACATAAACTTGACATGATTTTCCCCTTTGTAAAATCCATCATGGCAACTTAACAACCACAGAGTCTTATCTCTGAATCATCATGTTACGTGGTTGAAGGGAAAACCAGACAAAGTTGCTTGCATTAAAAGGAAAGAGTTTCCCCCCCCCCCTTCATTAAGGTGTTACATTTCAGTGCAGTAAATTCCTGCGGTGTCATCTGCAGGGTGCAGTCAATCACCATAAAGGAGATTTTTAAACCACCTTACAGATGCCAAAGGATTGAACTTCAGTCTGGTGAAGTATTGTGGAGACCTTGGTGTTTTTTATTCTCAGTTTATCATTCAGTATTGTCAGACAGAGCACATCTCACCGGGTCTCCCTGTCCACTGCAGAGAACTGGACTTGTTCCTTGTGAGTTTTCAGGATTACACTGGTTTGTTCCTGGTGAGCAAATACCAGGCCAGAGGAAGACTTCAACCCTTGCTACCACCATCTTCTGAGTTTATTTTCTGAAATAGCTTTAGTGATTTCCTTCTTTAGATATTTTACATACCCAGACATATTCAGTAAGAGTGTTTTTGAGACACAGGAAAGGCTGGAAATCAGCCTAAACCATCCCAAGCTGAAAGTGAAGATATGTGTTTTGTTGGCAGCAACTTTCTTACCAACTTCTACCGCGAGTAACTCCATTAACCGAGAAAACCTGTGCATGTGAAAAAATTTAGGTTCTGTGGCTCAGTCAGGTGCTATAAATAAATCCCATTGCTACATTTTACAGTGAAACTAAAGCCTTTGTCAACCCTTCCTCATCACACCCACAGCACTGTCAAACTGCTGTAAAGGTTAATGATGTACCCGACTGATGTAACACACCTCTTGGAAGCACAAATTGAGTAGCTGATTTAATGTCCAGATGATTGTTTTGATCACCAAAGCTGGGAATGCAACAAGATTTTGTACATTTGAGAGAACCTACATCTGGTTCTTACCCTTCAGCAGCTATGTACAGGAAAGGTCCTTGTCTTGTCCATGACTTATGGATCATCTCTGCCCTTGCTTGTTTGGGAAGTGAGGAGCCGCCCCCTCCAAAAACACAGCCTGCCAGCTTTGCTAAGGTTTGTACCTTGAGAGAACATTTATACAGCGTCATACACAAAAGGTCTGCCTGGGGATTGATGAACAAAATGAAAACAAATACAAAATTTTGAATTTGCACCCAAATTTATCGATGCTGTTTCCTAAGTTTATCGTACTTGACTCTGTAACCGTAACAGTCTTTAAAAGTCAGTTGTTGCCTAGTGCTGACACACAAACGCACACACATGCTGTTGTTCATCTTGGTATCATCACTATTCCAGTATTGTCATAGAATCATGGAATGATTTGAGTTGGAAGGGACCCTTGAAGATCCACTCTGTGACATTACCTTGTTCTATGATTATTGGCACCGTTTGTGTTGTGTTTTTGCTGGAATACACCAGTCCAGAACCAAATCCTATTATGCTGAGCACCAGATATTTTACAGAGGTGACAGGTGTAGGAATTTTCCAGTCCATGTCTCAGCTGGAAGACAGTGGATATCAAAAGCAGACAGGGCATGGACAGCAGGGCAGCAAGGAAACAAATAGA